TCACCCTCTCCTCAGCAGACCACAGTGCGAAGACTAGGACTATCGGACAGTTATTAAATAGAAGCAACTGGCTTTAGGGTAGCCATTGATAGCGAAAATAGAAAGGAAAGTAGGCCGTAGGCCACCGTCAGACCCTAGTGCCACCTTTGTGCCTCATTAATCAAACTATCCATACATACAGCATAAGGGACACGGTTCTTGATCCATGTGTGATTCCAGAGCTCCGATACAGGAAGACCAAAGGGGCATTTGGAGGGAAACTTTTACAGTGCCAGCCTCAAGAGTTTGGGGTTTAGTCAAAAACAGCCTAGAGGGCCTCTATTGTACATGCAGGTTTAGAAGACTGAGGCCCACCAATGGTGGAGACAGGCTCCAAGTATGAAGAGCCACCTACTTTTATAAACGGTGGTTATCAAAAATCTCTACTCTGTCCCTGTCCAATTCTCATTAAAGCCAGGACTCCTGGATTGTCTCAAGTTGTATAGCAGTTTCTGATCTTTAAAGCAGAAAAGTTAGTTTGGACAGGAGGATGTTTTAGCTGATCCGGTCCACCCCGTTAAGGACTGTAGAGGACAAGATACTTATCTTTGCCAATCTTGGCTTCCCTATTCCCAGAGTGTCTCTCTAGGTACCCAGTATCCATGTGTCCCTTCCTTCATTCCACCTTAAAGAGAAAAATCTTAAATGATGGTTAAAAAGATTAGTTCTGTTTGGTAGTACTTACTTGCTAACAAGAAACCTCTGGAATGAAAATTATTATGAAGGAATTTCAGTCGTGAGCTAACAGGCAGACAAAGGTGACGTAAGGGTGAAGAAAACTGACATTTATCAAGTATCTACATCATGCCAGAGAGTGTGCTAAGAGCTTGCACAGCATCTCATGTAATCCTCATGCCAGCTCTGTGACTCCACTTTTCAGATGAGAAAACTGAGACTCACAGAGCTTATCAGCTACCTGAAGCCACACAAAGAAAAGAACCCAGTAGCAACAATGCTTTCATAGGTAGCTACTACTTATTAGGCATTTAGCCATGCTCCATTTTACATATTATCTCACTTTATACACAAGCCTATGAGGTAGATTTATTATTAATTATCCCAATTTTACAGTTGAGAAAATGACCAGTCAGTGGCTGAGAAGGATTTGAACTCAGGCCACAGCACAAGACTCTGATCCTTCCATACCATGACTGCAATTAACTGGAAACGAAGATGGCTTGAATGACAGGACACTATGAGGTGTGATCAAATAAAATGGTGAATTTTCAATTAAAAAAATTATTACATTAAAGGTACATTGCCATTAATCTCCCTCAAAATATTCCCCCTAGCTTCAAACACACTTATCCCATCATTCTTGCCACTTTCTGAAGCAGTTCTGGAAGTCCTCTTTTGTGAGTGTCTTTAGTTGCGCTGTCATGGCTGCCTCAATGTCCTGAATTGATTCAAAACATTTATCTCTCATGGTCATTTTGACTTTGGGGAAGAGCCAGAAGTCACACAGTGCCAGATCTAGTGAATAAGGTGGATAAGGACGCACCGTAATGTTTTTATTTCACAGAAGTTGCTGTACCAGAAGCGATGTGTGACAAAGAGCGTAGTCATGATGGAGGATGATTTACGGCTCACTTTAAAACACACCTTCTGTCAACCATAGCTTACACCCAACTGACTGCACTGAACAAGCTGAAACTTGTCACACTCTGTTACTAAGGTTTGACACGCTGCTTCCTGTATTGAAGATCCCTGCCTTTCCATTGGATGGCACTTGGCAGTGGCATTTGCCGTATTTGTTGATCACAAAGGGAAGGTTCCATGTCACACATCGCTTCTGATACAATTTCTGTCAAATAAAAACATTACGGTGTGTCCTCATCCACTTTATTCACCGGATCTGGCACCGTGCGACTTCTGGCTCTTCCCCAAAGTCAAAACAACCATGAAAGATAAATGTTTTGAATTGACTCAGGACATTGAGGCTGCCACGACAGTGCAACTAAAGACACTCACAAAAGAGGATTTCCAGAACTGCTTCAGAAAGTGGGAAGGACAATGGGATAAGTGTGTTTGAAGCTAGGGGGAATATTTTCAGGGGGATTAATGAATGGCAATGTGTCTTTTACTGTAATAAAATTTTTAGATTTAAACATTCACCATAGTTTTTTTATCATACTTTGTATATCTTTAACAGACAAGTTCCACCACCAAGTCTCCTGCCACCTGCAAGAAACTCTTCTGCTCAACCTCGGAACTAGGGCTCCATGTTTGCTGCAATGCTTCCTTTGAGAGGTGTTCCACTCACAGGAACAGCATGTTCTTTTTAAAGACCCTCAAACACCCACAGAAGCTGTTTGTTACAGCAAGAAACATCACTGCAGGAAATATTAAGCAAAGAGAATGAGTGGGACTGAGTAGCTTTCCTTCTGACTCACCCTGTGGATTGAGAAAGATAACGGTGCTTTATGGAGAGAAACTTTGCCTGTTTAATGGAGTCATTGGGGAGGGTGATTATTCCAACTCTACCTGAACCACTACCAAAACTGAGAAGGGATTCTCAAGACAGTTAACACCAATGGCTAGACTAAAAAGCACCCTGAAATCTTGTGTTAGGGACGTGCCTCTGCTCAGCAGGGTCCCCATCTCATTTCTACCTCATCCATAGCCTGCCTAAGGAAGCACCCACATGATATGACATTGAAAGGCCTGCCTCTTTCCAAATTACCCTACAACACGACTGAAGTCCTCATCATTCAAGCATCCTTTGGGGTTAAATCATTAGACTATTAAAATTCAATCATGTTATATATGACAATATTAATTTACTAGCATTTATGATTACACTAATGAGAGCTTGCAAGATGAGTTAAATGTTACCTGGGAAAGCAAAGGAGGTCAGCATAGGACAGGTGTGTTTTACTGTAAGAGGAAGGAAAACCTTTCTCCATTAGGGTGCACCTTTCTACCTTCTCCTCCCACCCATTCTCTGTCTAGTAAAGTCTTACCCATCTCAAAGCTGAGAGTCTGAGTAAAGTGAAGACCAGGACAACCCAGCGGGACACGCACACGGCCTCCCCACAGCTCTCGTCCTGACTGCACAGCGCACGTCTTGTATCTCTAGCATTCCCATGGTAGCACAGTGCCCACAGCACCCACCTAGCACAACCCGGGCATTCAACAAATACCTGCCGAAGACTTCAACTTGGAGAGATCAGAGGGCAGGGAAAGGGGGCATTTTCTATAACAAAGAAACTACAAAGAGGCAAAAAAAAAAAAAGAAAAAGAAAAAACCCTGTAAAAGACAAGGAAGCAAAAGTTGATGTGGACAAGTGGAGGGGAGGGAGATTCCTACAAATGGCTAGAAGAGTGTCATGTTATAGGCTTTGGGTCACACTCTCTCTCCTGAGCCTGCGGACAAGCGGTAGGGTCTAAGCTCTGGGATGCCCTTACCTGCTCCTGAGTGTTAACAGCATCAGGCTCGTTCTTCATATCATGTGGGCACAGATTGGCCTGTTTTAAGAGAATCTGAGAGATGAAACCCTAAACTTATTGAATTAATAAAAGAGAAGGGGGGCCGGCCGAGTGGTGCGTCGGTTAAGAACTGGCTTGGGACGCCAGAGGGCCCTGGTTCGGATCCCACATATGAGGGCCAGTGACACTGCCCTCCACAGCTAAGATGCTGAACACCAGCTCAACCTGGAGCTGGGCTGCTGTGAGTCGCCGGCGACGGCATAGGCTGCAGCCCCTGCTGCAGTGGGTTGCCATGGGCTACCGTGTGTAGCCAGCAGCCAGCGTGAGTGGCCAGCAGCCG